TAAAAATGTGTGTGTGTGTGTGTGTGTATGGGCGCACGTCAGGTATAATACGATACACATATTATTATAATATGATGCTAAACGAGTAGCGTTTAAAATCAAAACATCACCGCAGTATCAATTAAACCTTCAATAACAAGCGGATATACGAGGCGTACCTATACAATAAAATAATATAATCGGAAAATATTATATTTTAATCTATAGATGTGTGTGTGGTTAAATTATAGTTCTTGTTGACAACATAAGACATTGCATATTATAATATAATATTATGTATATTACCCAGTACCCTCATAATTTTACACTAAAAATATCTAGCTGTATGCTTGTATATTATTATATTGATCTCTGCTGGTACACGGCTGTTGCCTGTTGTAAAACACTGTTAATCGGTTGATATAGGTACTGTATTTGTATTTCGATTGTGGGAACAGATACGGCGGTTACGATTAAATGATTAATAATAATATTGTCGATAAGTCGTCGACAGAAAAAAATTATATATATCGCGATGAAAAATTAAAGAACAAATTATAACAAAGTGGGCGTGAAGCAGCTGCACGTCGCGCCCAGAGGCGTTAAAATCTTCGCTACAACCCCGATTTTGTGAGAATTATGAACACGTAGTCCAGTGATCGCAGTGGTGAAACGTAGATACGTAGATAATAATGAAAAACTATCAGCTATATAGGTAAGTACTTAAAACTAAAGTACGACATTCGTTCTTAAAACAAAACAAAAATATTGTCGAAAGGTGTCTCAAATTTGTAAATAAATAAATACAATCACCCGTCACATTATACAAATATACCTATATCTACTATAACATATCATATCAAAATATGTCGATCTGGACATCATGTGTATCGTGTTATATTATGATCGTTTCCAACCGATAAGTCATACCATATTTGATATTATTGAGACCCCTTCAAACTACTTTTCTGAGTATTAACTAGTAAGTAATAACAGAGTAATTTGGTAACATTATACTTGACTATATTTTAATACTAATAATATGATATAATTTCGCATTCGTTTCAAAAGCAAATACAAATTGTTAAGTACGCTATATATACTATAAAGGTGTGTATTTGATTCGGTCGTTGTCGTCAGTCGTGACCACTGACCATATTACATTTTATTATACGTAAGAATTTAAGATTATCGACCGACAGGCTGATCAAGTTCAGTACGATATCATGTACAAATGTACAATAATAAACTACCTATATATTATTTTATAGATAATAGAACGTCGTTGGTGTGGCACTGTGGTTATAAGTAACTAATAAAAAGTAGGTAGCTTAAGTATAGTTACCTATGAGGAATTTGTCAGAGGTACCATACCTAAGTCATACTGCACTGCAAGTACGAAAACAATTTTTCGTTGAAATAATTTAAGAACAAAGATAAGTACGATTTAGAAATACCTAATATATTTCTAAGTTCTGAAGCGTTATTTTAAGACAACAACAATTTAGTAAAATTCAAGTATACGATACAGTGCAGATTAAGTAATTTTGTTCATCATCATTCATCATAATATGAAAACTGAATAAATACATTAAAAAGTACCTTAACGTTTTGAACGAGCAAAAATATAAATTGAAATAGATATCGATAATTAAATCATAATTATTATTTTTAAAGTTACACGAGTGTAAGGGGGCTCCAGTTGATGAAAAAAGTGACTTTTAAACCAAGAAGCCAGACAATACGGGAGGATGTTATTGGTTTGACCGATTTTAATTTTGAAAACGAATTATGATTGATTAACAAGTTTACTAGGTTTGACCTAACCTAGTCTGAGGTGATTTTTAATATTCCTTTTATTGTTAGTGTCATAATGAATAATATTAATACAAAAATATCATATTTTTATTCATGGATTTCACAGCTGAAAAAATAGATATTGAAAATGGATAGTCGTCTTGACCGAAACCTATAGTAAACTTGGTAATCAATGAAAATCAATTTGAAAATTGAAATCCGTCAAACCAAATTCCTTCAATTTGTTTGACTTTTTGGTCTAAAAACCACTTTTTAAATTGAAAAAAGTTATCAAATTTATAATTATTGCCAATATGTTACGCGTACGTAAGTTAGGTTAGGTTAGGTTATAGGTTATAAGTTCGAATATAAATAACGACCGATACACCGGGTGGTACCTATTATGCGGGCCTACTGTTACAATCCAGGCCAAATAAAATATTGAAATAGGAAATATTGACCAAAAACGATTACAGATTAAACTCACACATACTAATGTTCATTTACTTTGCACATACAAGTCATTTTAATGTCATCATATTAAATTGCCAATATTAATTTTCATAAACACGACCGACTAGAGAGCCCCCTTAGCAACTTTCGGGTGCGACTATAATGTATAGGTATCACGTAGGTACTACATTTATGTGCACTTGTATTTGTATTCATATACAAGTATAATAATGCTGATAATGCACAATTATATAATACAATATATTACTCGTGACTATATGTGGCAATGAATCAATTACACGTATGTGTGCATACACTATCAATATCAAAATTTACAATTCTAGTTACGACCATGTTACCACATGATATTATGATTCCATCGTGTAGTGTATCGCCATTGCAAACGCTTTCATTATTTTATAAAAAGTCAATATGTGCAAATATGCGTGCCTCACCGCGTAAACACGCATAATATTGTCAGATAATAATAAGGTGTCTTTAATATGTTAATGCGCAATAAAAGAAGAAAAACAATGTTTCACTGAAAACCATTTTAGATAATATTGTATTGAATAATAAGATAGGTATTATATGATAAGACCGACGAATGACCTCGCTGTTGCCCGGAGGGGTTTGTAAACTACTTCAGGCATTGCAGAGAAAGAAATAATAGAATCACACGGGAAAAATAGTTCAGTCCACGGCAGCGACATATGCATACTTCTGTCTTAAATAGTTATATAGATAAGTGCAGCCTAAAAAAAAAATTGTTAGACGACGTTTAAAATACATAGGTACGTACTTATTATCATTGCTTTTTATCTAAAAACCTATAGTGGAAATAATATCGTCTACTCGATGTAAGTACATCCGTTTAATATATCTGAGAACATATTATGTATATGAGAACATAATATGAAATATTTTGTAAATTATTTACAAGACTTATAACTTTTATTATTATTTTTTTTTACTCAAATAACTTTGGAACACCGTTCAATGATCAGCGATACAAGTCATGATTATAATATAATACATACACGTATTATGTATTAACTATACTTATTTTATTTTACGGGCTTAGACTTTTGACAAAAATGTAAACATATGTAATAGTAACAGCAAGGAAATGGTATTATTTTACAAACAATAAATAATAATATATAAATAACGTATATGTGTTCAAAAGAGAAATAATGGTAAAGTTGATTAAAAAAATACATAAATTATTTTTGATAATGTTGACAATTCATATAAAAAGTAAAAACTTCAAAGAATTATACCAACGTCATACAATTATAATTTTTTTTCCAATAATATTTATTGTTGTATTCCAAAATAAATTTTAATTATATGCTTATATACGCATCAAATATCTCCGGCCAGTAACTCTCCAAATATGAAATATACCTACTATTTTGTTTTTTTCTATTGAATTTTGGAATTCAACTAATCACGAATTTTCACTTTTGTTTAAATGCGTATAGACAAATATATACTTTAAGTCTTTAAACAAATAATAGGTATAATCACGCATAATACCAATACATGTATCCTTGTACCTATAAAATATGTGTATTATATAAACCAGGCCTTCAAATTACAAGCCAGCTGTAGTAAGAATACGAAGACGGCCGACCACCTAGGTGGTGACTTCATGTTGAATTTTTTTTATTCCTCCCTCATCTCAAATAATGGTTTATGTGAAGGGTAGAAAAAACCCCATGAATAAAAAATATATGAAAAATAAACGGGCTTTACGTATTTATGATGGCTATACGCAAACATGTCATCTTTCCGCTTCATAAACTAACCTACAACGCATCGGTAAACAAATAATTTATTTGTGTAAAGTCTGTGTGAAAATTAAAGACAAAACCGTAATATTGAAAATAAATGAAACTAAAGTAGGTATATGATTTTTTTTATTTCTAATTGGTTTCATGCCTTTCTTTTCAAAATCATGAAGTCGTATATAAATTCGTTATAAAAAAAAATAATAATAACAATAAATGATTCGCTCAGACTTATTTACAACAAAATAAATCGAGAAACTCAATTGTAATATGCAAGTATAATTTATTTACCTATGTTACACAAACGAAACAAATACCTGTATTTACTATACATACAACGGGTATTATTACGTAGGTTTTGGAGAACTCTGCAGTATTATTTAATTCATGTTTTAGAAATTAGCTTGTTTTGAATTCATTCGTATTTATTTTACGTTTTGAGGTTGAAAATATTTCCAGATGGCGGATATTATTTATACGAGGAGGAGGAGGAGGAAGAGGATATAATGTAAATCATACTATACAACACAGTTACCAAATTTTAATTTCTCGGCGGATTTCATATAGTAATTAACTGTAACTATTGACCATAGACTAAAGTGTATGTAATAATTTGGTATATGTAAGGTATTATAGGTATCGTTTGTTTATTGCGCAATTCACACCCAACAAAATATAATAATAGTCGTATATAATTTTATACAAAACGGGCATATATATTTAAATATATTATTATAAAATAGCCAAAGTAAACTTATTTTTAACATGTAAACCAGCCTTAAAAAAAAGTTAATATCATATCTATAATTAAACAACTAATTCCGTCATTATTTATAATATTATAATCATATTACATAAACGTAAACTTTTCTGGTGTAACGTGTATAAATATTATTATGATATTGTATAATATAATATAATATATTATATCTATAAGTTATGATCTGATGCTGTCATTTTACCCAACGCGTGCTGTCAATTGGACATTTTTCGGGTGAACAGGTACTCGGAAAACTGTTGGCCGTGTACACCACCACCCGTGCTCGCGGCCACCGTGAAACCGGCGTTCAGCAACCGGGTGATGGCCTGCACGCTGTTGAGCTTACAGTATCCATTCAACGGAAACCGGACCAGGTGTCTGGAGTCCACGGGCGTCCAGGACACCGCCGGACGTCCGGCTGAAGGCTCCAACGCTGAGTGGCCCGTTTCGGGAAATACCTCGTCTAGGACCGCGTGGTCACCAGACAACATCACCCGCTCCCCGAGGTCCGGACTCACGTGAACGGACACGCATTCGTACTGGTCTTTCGTACCGGAGAGGCTGCTGTTGGACCGACTCGGGCCGTTTGAGTCCCAACCATTTGTCCGGTTACACTTCATCCGGTCTCGTTTCAAGTTTTCTAACTGTTTACACATGGCTGGAACAATAAACCAATTACACTGATGGCTATACATAGTATTTATGACTATATACATGGTAAATATACAATTAGCATTATTTTTCACGTAATATGCGTACAGCATACAGACGCATTACTGCATAAGTAGGTAGGTATCTATATATAATATTCTCAGGTTTAGGTACCTTTTTATAAAAAAGATGGTTATCCATTCACGTAAATAATAAATATAAGTAGGTAGGTCGTAGCCCGTAGGTATACCTCATATTTCGGTATTTACTATTTACTATTTTACATATTGTGTATTTATTGTACATTGTTTATCATTGTTGTGTGCAAACGCGTGGCGTTATATTACTCGTAGTAAATGGTTTTTCAGAACAATATTTTGAACATTGATTCTATTAATGATAGGTGCCCGTATTTTTATTAATTTAATTTAATATTTATTATTTTTGCAATTGGATAAATAATAAAGATTTTTTTCTTTGATGGATAAACAATGCTACACGAGTGGACGTGCATTGCTTATGTCATTCCCCTCATGTGGTCGTTCAAAAATGAAAAATGATAAATGTTGTAGTGGTGAGGCGGCAAACCACTTAGAATCCTTGTTGAAGCTGTACTATTAAATCCCTTCAATTGGGTATATAGTACAAAGTATTAAGTAGCACGCTACTAGATATTTTTCCTCTGCTGGGAAATCGATGAATCATAGATACATTATTTTGATTTGCGTTTCTATAATATGGTTATCGTTATATGGTAATTAACAAAGCGTTCCGAAAAAGTTGGCCGTGCTTTATCGAGCTTTTTGAACTTAGACTGTACCAAACCGTCTTGCTCAATTTGTAAGTAATTTGTAAGGACGAATTTAATATTTGTAAGTCATCCCCTCCTTAATTATCCTTAAAAAGAAGTTGGCCGTGCTTTATCGAGCTATTTGCACTTCGACTGTTCCAAATCGTTAGGCGCAATTTGTAAGTATTTCAGTATTTGTAAGCACGAATTTAAAATTTGTAAGAACTCCCTCAATAATTTATTCCCAAAAAAAAGTTGGTCGAAAATTAATAAAAAAAAAGGTGGGTAACTGGATGTCGCTCTGCTGTACAGTAGGTTACAAGTGGGTCACTGTAATGGATGGTGTTAAATTTGAATTCATAATGATATAATATCATTGTATAAGAAAAACGATTCTGAGCGAAGACGGTCAGTCAGCCTATGATATTACGAAGTATATTTGATGATATTAAGGTGAATAAAGTAATTTATTTACAACCTATTTAAGTGGAATCTTGTTTTAAATTTCCAATCTTTAGCTATAAGAATTTAACATTTTATATATTTTTAACTACAAAATAATTATTAAATTTTAAATTTGATAAATTTTGTCAAAATTCGAATTTAAAATACTTATAAAAAAAATGTGTAACTATGTATTTTTAATATCTTTCAATTGCTATTGTAACAATATTATATCAGGATCCATGTATTAAATTTTCACGCTTTTTTACCCAATAAATAAAATTTTATTGTTATTTATAGAAAAAAAAACTAAAAAATTAAAATTTGAAATGGTCAGTAAAAAGCGCAAAAAGAGTCAAGTAATTTTAAAAATTGTATGGTGTATAGAAAATGCTAATATATTCGGTGAAATTTTCAAGTATCTACAGTTATTCGTTTTTTAATGACAGTAAAATAAGAAAATCGTTGCATGAGAAATAAAGTGAATATCAAATGTTGTAAAAATATGAATTTCAAACGCTCATAAAAATTTAATTGGACTTTCTTGTAGACATTTTTTTTTTGATTAAGGTATACAAACTTATGAGGAATGTTGTATTACATTTTAAAAGAAAATTTTTTATGAATTTATAACTCAAAATAATTTGCAAATTTTGGTCATTTTTACGTATTTTGTCAATATTTTAACTTTAAATGCTAATAAAAAAAATTGTGATTATGGATTTTTAGTTTTTAGAAACAATATACTAGGAGTCTTCTAATAAATTTTCAAGCTTTTTTAATGAACAAATAAAATTGTATTGATATTTATAAAAAAAAAACTAAAAAAATTTCCGTAAACAGCTCAAAATATTTAAAAATGTTATGGTGTATAGAAAATTCAAATATAAACATTCAGTCAAAATTTCATGTACTTACGGTAATTTTTTTTAAGAGTTGCACCTAAAACCAAAGTTGATTTTTTTGAAAACAGATTTAGAGTACAAATTCCCGTTTTTCCTTAATTTTTCTTTTTTTTTTACGGCGCTTTTGAAACTACTAGGAAAGTTTTAATTTTGACTCCCCAAAGTACCAACTAGATTCACTTTCCTATCAGAAAATATACTGTTGAAGAAAATCTAAACATTTTTCCTGTCCTAAAAGGTGATGACAGACACAAAAATAACAAAATAAATAAAACACACATCATTGTAAAATCTATACATTCATCGTTCCACTCAGAATCTAAAATGTATACGAAAATATAACAACCAATACTGTGTAGCTCCACCGAATCGTAAAAAAAAAATAATTTTGAAAACTCCTAGTATATTGTTTCTAAAAACTAAAAATCCATTCCATAGTCACAGTTTTTTTTATTAGCATTTAAAGTTCAAATATTGTCAAAATACGTAAAAATTACGAAAATTTGAGTTATAAATTCATAAAATATTTTCTTTTAAAATGTAATACAAGATTCTTCATAAGTTTGTATACCTATATCAAAAAAAAAAAAAAAATGTCTACAAGAAAGTCAAATTAAATTTTTATGAGTGTTTGAAATTCATATTTTTACAACATTTGATATTCACAAGATTTCTAATGTAACGATTTTCTTATTTTGTTGTAATTATATGATTTAACTAATGAATGATAATATTCATAACTGAATGATTTTAGATACTTGAAAACTTCACTGAATTTTTATATTACCATTTTCTATACACCATACAATTTTTAAAATTACTTGACTCTTTTTGCGCTTTTTACTGACCATTTCAAATTTTAATTTTTTTTTTCTAGAAATACCAATAAAATTTTATTTGTTGTGCCAAAAAGCGTGAAAATTTAATACATGGCTCCTGATATAATATTGTTACAGTAGCAATTGAAAGATATTAAAAATACATAGGCACTTTTTTTTTTTATAAGTATTTTAAGTTCGAATTTTGACAAATTTTATCAAATTTAAAATTTTAAATAAGGTTTCACGTAAATAGGTTAGGTATATATATAAATTACTTTATTCACAATAATATCATCAAATATACTTAGTAATATCGGAAAGTAAAACCGTAGGCTAGCAACAAATCTCACCTTTTTGGCTAAATTATTGCAGGGGAAAATTGACTTTCCGTACTTACTATCCCAAGTCTCTTTTAATTTTCCAGTCCGAACCTCTCACCATATCCTGTTCCTTTTTCACTTGCCACCTCTTCAATTATAACTATGGTCAAAATGAACCACTACGTCGCTCCATGTATTTAGCTAATCTAGACCCTCCCTTCTCACTAAATAAATTTTAATTTTTCTATATATAATCTATTTAAGTATTGTACTAAATTGTATTATTGTAAAATGTAAATTGGGTGAAAGCCCGTGTTGTATTATAAAATAAAATAAATAAAATATCATAGGCGGACTGACTGTTTTCGCACAGAATCGTTTTTCTGATACGATGATATTATATTATTGAATTCAAATTTAACACCATCCATTACAGTGACCCACTGGTCACTTGTAACCTTATGTACAGCAGAGCGACACCCAATTAATAATAGCTAATAATTACCCACTTTTTTTCTTATGTTACCTTTACATATTACAAGAAATTAAACCTAAATGCGCATTGTTCATTTTATCTTATATATCTAATATAGCAAATTATATTTCAATTTCTCTGATATTCCATAGATAAATTGCATAGGTCTAAATATTAATATGTATACTTTATAACTAATACATTTAACAATATATTGAAGTAATTTTGTTTTTAATTATCTTAAGTTGAATATAAAACTAGTTTAATGTTATACTGCTGTCACGTAACATTATTTTTATTTTCAAATTTTCTCAGCATCATTAGATAGCCTCCGGAAAAATACCAAAATCGTGAATCATGATCGATTATTATTACACAATATTTTAATTTGTCTAATGATGTCCATATTTCAGCCCATATTGCACGAATTACGAATGTAATGAATATAATAATGGTGATGGGACAAAAATGGATTTAAAATAAATAGTATGATAGCTCGATACTGAGACAAGTATCATGCACCCGGGGGCTGTATAAAAGACCTCAGCCACACAATATCCTTCGACCAAAAATGTGCGTTCTTAACCTTGTCGTCAGACAACAGAGCGTATAGGTATTATCGGTATAATAGTGTCTTACTTAAATGCACAATAAACAGATAAACTGACTGTTTATGTGCCCAATTACCTCATTAAAGACAACAAAAAAAACGTGTTTCATTAAGCATTCAAATAAGATATGACACACTTATTATAATTAGTTTTATAATATAAATTATTAAATGGATTATTAGGCCGTAACGAAATAATGTATAATATACTGATTATAACAATTAATAGTAGATAGGTTTTTAAAATTTACTTACGAGTGATTTCAAAGTATCTAGCTTCTTCTAGCAATAGGTCAATATCAGTGAAATTATCAGGTAGCGAAAGCTTCGAATTTCTCATAAAGTTGAGAATATGTCTGAACATCTTGCCATCCCTGTCGATAAAATAATGTTGTTTAAGAGAGTCCAACACTATGGGTATACTACCATTGAACAATTTAGCCAGTTTTGAATCAGGATTCCTGAAATTTAATTAAATGTAAGACTTTTGTAAAAAATAAACAAATTGTGTACATTATTGTATTAATAAATATGAATGAATCAGTTACATAAAACATGTAATTAAATGTATAATGTCACTATTAAATTGGTAAAATGTGTATTTCAATTTTCAATGAAAAAAAAATAATAATGTAATAATTTCCATACTTATTGAACTTGGTATAATGACATTAGTGTGTGTAAAGTATACGTACAATGTACATAATATAATATAATTTATAGGTATATAACAATACAATGAATTCGTTTTTTTATAGTTTCTTCGAGTGTATGCGACGTGGTAAAATTCCTGTATAGCCATTTAATAACATGGCAATAATATTTATAGAAAAATGGTATAGCCCACGTAGATATAGTATAATATATCGGAGACTAGTAATGCACGACTTTTATGCGAGAGTGACTAGTGAAGCGTAGCACGTTCGTGTAACGCCAAAGGCGATGGCACGGCGTGCAACGCTGAAAGGACCAATCGTTAGGTAAGCCAAAAAAAAAATAAAAATAAAAAGGAAACAGAAACTCACTCTTCGCATCACCGATTGTTATTATTACTTATTTCCCATGTCTACTCCGTGACCTTACGCAAATAGGTATATTAAAGAGTGGTTTCATCGGACAATTAACCCAAATTTAGACAAGTATGCATGCGAATTTGTATGCATATTTTGATTCATTAATTAAGTCGAAAAAATTATATTGAATAACCTAACTTAATTAGCTATTCTGTATTTAATATATATAAATTTCTTCTTGGTCTTTGTACTGTACTATTTACCCATTTGGGGTGATAAAATAACAATAAATAAAAAATAAATAAATATAATAACAAACATATCACATTAAACTAACTTTGTTAGAGTATCCAGTGAGGACGTGTATATGGTGCCACCGACGTCTATATGGACGGGAGCAGTATACTTAGACGCGGCTGCCACACATGGTATGCCGGCAATGATTTTGTGGTTGTAACCGGTAGTAGGCACTACCGGTGTTGGTGATGGCGAATTGCTGTTGTGTGATACGGTAGGAGATGTAGCCGGAGAATTACTAAGAGCAATACAAATAAATAATAATAATCCAATAATATAATAATGGAATAAGGAAAAAAACATAAATCTATATACATAAGAAATAAGAAAGCAATCAAAATATACAACATTTTCTAACTATCAGTTGGTAGATATACTTATACCTAACCAAAACCTATTATAGGTAAGAATGAATCCAATTAGTCTGAAATGATTTATTTTTTAATTTAAAAAGTATGCCTATTTTAGTATCGTATATAATATTTACAGTGAATATGGATTTGAGTAAAAACTTTTAAAATAAATAGCTTTATAGTTTATACTGAAAATTTAAAATCCAATCACTTGGTTTTTATTATAAACTAAAATAACAGAAAAATAGTTTTCCTATAAGTTTATTGTTTTACAATATTATTGTTGGTGGTAAGTTTACTATAAATGTAAGCATTATGGTTTATTGCTGTGAATATAAAAACGAAGATTGACTACATCTTTATCAACAAAAGGTCAGATTTAAAAAAACTTTATAAAACAATAAATTATAAATATTATCATACTTATTTCAAAATAATTTTATTACATTTAGTAAAAAGTAAATAGATACTCCAGAGCGATAGGTCAAGTTATTTAAAATAAAACATTTAAATTACAAATTACAAATTTTTTTTTGAAATTCAAAATTTTAACACTCAAAAAAATACTTTAAAATTTAAATAACAGAAAAATATATGCGTGTATGTTACAACCATGTAGTTATTATACTTACCATGTATTTATTATAGGCTATAGTAAATATATATAATAAGTATAATAAGTATTGGCACAAAACATTAACTACAAATATTTATTATTTCTGAGTAAAAAAAAACTATTGAATTAATAAGTTGTTTATTTACTATATTTTCTATAATATGTTATTGATATTAATGACTTGAAACTTTACCATTGACTTAGTATTAATTTTTATGGATTATAAACTAAGTATATGTGCAGTATTTTTATATTTCAACGTTTAAAACTAAATATTTCAAAATGGTTTCGTTACTGTTCACCAGGATTTGAAAAATAAACATTATAATAGTAATAGTATCTACATAAAAAAATATTATGCTTAGAATAAATTATAAAGGACATCTATAACTTATAATCCTGCAGTTATTTAAATTCTACAGTCATCCATGCGGTATTTTATTTTTTTAAGCTTATTCTAATATTTATAGGTGTTATGTATTATTATACATAGATAAGTGGTCAATATATGTAAATGTGTATTAAGTATTGCCCGAAAAGCAATAAGATATCACCATAATTGACTATTAGTATACACAGCCAAAGTAAATTCAACTAAAAATGTCGTCATCGTGTTGGAATTAATTATGGAAGCTTCTATGTTTCAATACATTATATTTATCATGAACATAATATTTTTCTATTAAATAAATACGAACCTGATTTTGATCTGTGCACTTGTGTATAAGGATCTGGATGAAGTGAGATCTTTAGGCTCCATTCCGTCCACATCTCGAACCACTTCACACTTTCGTCTAAAATTATAAAAAAAAATTTACTTAACTACTTTACTGTCGATGAGTGTACAATGTACATGTATAATTGTATACATTATAGGTACATACATGATATATCACGTATTATTATATGAATTATTAGTTAATACAATTAAAAACAAAAAAACAATATAGTCGAAAGTAATAATAAATTCTGATAAACACAAAATAAATATTGTATGTATATTATTTTGATTTTTTGAGTGCAGTATTGAAATTGTTATACTAAACAATTTAATTTTAACCATGGAAAAATATTTTTATGTTTGTGCATTACAGTCGGGTAAACTGATTAAAATGTATTTCAAAATGGTATTATGAGGAAGTATTCACCCACTGATTTAAAGTCAGCTGGAGCATTGTTGTTTATTATTGTATGGTGTTTAAATTTTCTATTCGGATTGAGCCGACTGCTCCTTATCGTATAATACAGCTATATGTATCTATAGTGGGTCGAAAATTTCGTGGGCGTCGTATATAATGCTGAAGATGGTTCTGGTCTGTACACAAAAAAATCTTTCACGATATGACGGAAAAGTGGTAAAATTATAGAATAGTGAACTATACAGTGTAGGTACTAATACATAAAACATATTATACATGAAACATGTATACATGCGTGGACCACGCTTAAGGTGTAACTGAAAACGATAATCCAACTGTTATATTATGAAATAAATAATATAAAAATGTCATTTGGGCGAGAGGGTAACATTCACATATTATTATGAATATATATAGTTTATTATATATAGATTAATATCTCACTCAGACAGTCAGACATCGTAGATTAATTTGGCAGTAACACTGGTCTGTATAATTTTGCCAAACCAGATTTGTATACACATATGTATAGTCACTGGATATTTAATGCATGTAAACTTGTGATTTATGATTTTGTGTTAACATCGTCAAATAAACACTATAGGTGCATTATACAATACACAATTTCCAGAGATTGAGGATAATATATAAAGTGCGATGCTTTCTTATTTACCATATATCACGTTTGTATACAATTCATATATAATATATTATACGTAATATATGTGTCAACGTGTCTAACTATATGCGTAATGCGTATATATATATATATGCTTTTAAAGAAAGTATACATATAAAACATATAATATGTTAATATGTTAATGATCTTTGTTTGTATTTTGTCATTGGTCACCAATAATTTTGGTAAAGTATTCTAAATGTAGCCAAACCAGTATATTCATTACAAAAGAAATCGTTTTGTGAAAACATTGTAAGAGAAAATGCGACATCTTGATATTCCAGAACGAAGTAAAAATAAGGCACCTGTCTATGGTCTGTGAAAGCGTCATAATAAAGGTCAATGATATTTGTTTCGCTTCTTCACATTATCCGGACCTACCTGTTGATGATGATACCAGTTGTACCGGACGGAAGGCACGTGACATTAAACATAATAAAAAATAAACAAAACGCGACCATACCAAAATCTACTTTTTTCTCTACATTTTTACACTGCATATAGATAGAGAGATTAATACGTAAACCAGTGCCATTAGTAAAGTGGTTCCGTTTGTATGTTATATAACTACAACGCCATAAGAAAATGGCATGTATACTCTCAAATCTAAAGACTCTAAAGGTTAGTTTATCTTGTAAAATTAAATAATCAATATTAAATTACTTCTAAAATAAAGTTGGTGATTAAATGTTCAATTATTCCATAAGTAAAAACAAAAACAATTTAAGTAATTTGGTTAGGAATAATATTTTATTTAGATATAATAACTAAAAAATACTATAGTTTATCTATACAAATATTTATTATTAACTGTAGGTATACGTTATTAAATTTAATTAGTATGTTTGTGTCCAAGAATACCTACAACTTAAAATGTAGATCTAAATAATAATATTATATTAAAGCCACAACCTACAACAAAACATATTTTGAATCAAGATTGTTGAGATATTTTATTGTTCTATTTATAGTATCTCGTGTTGGCACTAAATCAAATTGTACATAGGTTTTACTACTCAAAAAGATTTAAGATATAAAGGTTACTCAACACCGTATAGGTAGAATTTTGGTCTCCAGAGTGATGTGCACAGTTTTTCACCAAAATCAGCTGTTCAGCATAGGAAGAATCACAACTAGCGCTCTCAGTATATATAATTATTATACATAATATAACATATTATATCGAATCGAATTAAAAATATATAATATCATGAAAATATAGGTGCATTATTTAACTATATTAATTTCCGCTTAGGCGCTGGATGCCCTTCTCACCGGGTAGGTATAATCGAAGATAAACACTGGTCATCAAAAGAAATGCTCTGTTGAGTAACCTGCAGCTGTATGGTTGTAGACAGTGGCCATTATAATAGGCGTATCTAGGGGGGGAGGGTGTTAACCCATGTGAATATTAGCCCCCAGAATTATTTGTATTTCATTAAGTTTATGGTGTTGTTATCGTTTCACTCGGAATGTATTGATTTTACAATGATGTGGGTTTTTTTTTAAATTTTAAAATTTATTTTTATTTTTTTTGGGGGTCCATCATCACCTTTTAGGACAGTAAAAATGCTTAGAGTTTCTACAACAGTATCTTTTCTGATAGGAAAGTGAATCTAGTTGGTACTTTGAGGGGGTCAAATTTAAAAATTTCCCAGTAGTTTTCAAAAGCGCCTTGAAAAACAAAAGAAAATTAAGGAAAAACGGGAATTTGTACCCAAAATCTGTAACTCTTAAACAAATGACCTTGGATACATGAAAATTCCACTGAATTAGCATTTCCTATACATCATACAATTTTGACTTTTTTTGAGCTGTTTAAGGACATTTTCAGTTTTCAATTTTTTTTAGTTTTTTTTTTCTATAAATATCAATAAAATGTTATTTGTTGGGTAAAAAAGCGTGAAAATTTAATGCAAAGCTCCTGATATATTGTTACAATAGCGATTAAAAAATATTAAAAATACATACGCACAATTTTTTTTTATAAGCATTTAAAGTTCAAATTTTGACAAAATTTATCACATTTAAAATTTAATAATAATTTTGAAGTAAAAAATGTATTAAATGTTCAACTTTTATAGCTAAGGATTGAAAATTTAAAACAAGATTCCACGTAAATAGGTTATGTATAAATTACTTTATTCACTTTAATATCACCAAATGACAAATATACTTCGTAATATCATAGGCTGACTGGCCGTTTTCGCTCAGAATCGTTTTTCTTATACAATGATATTATATCATTGAATTCAAATTTAACACCATCCATTACAGTGATCCATTTGTAACCTACTGTACAGCAGAGCGACTTATTATTATTATTATTATTAATTGTTTTTGAAGCCCCCTCCCTCCCATATATTTGATCACCCTATACGCCTATGTCAGTGGCGTAACTAGGACCTTAATTTAGTGGTTGATATGAGTATTTATCACTAATAAGAAGTAGAACATACGTATTTAATAAGTTACAATAAACAATTAACAAAATACAAAAGTGAAAAAAAAATTAAAACAGATCATATATTATAGATATACAGATTAAAATATTTTGTTCCTCATGAGTTTAGTAAAAACCAGAATTTAATCATTGATACCAATGAGATAGTGTGATACTATATCCACTATAACCAGTGTTCGGAACGTTCACTAAAAAAATTAATTCGTTCACATTCACGTTCTTTCAAAAAACGCGTTCATTGGGTCAAACATTTAATTTTTTTTATGAATCGTTATCTTGCACACAATATAAAAATTAAAAACCCATAAACATATACGACTTAAGCAAAAAATAAAAATACAATTTAGACTTTAGATCATGTACAATTTATAATGTATCTGAATTAATTTTTAATTTCTGACACGTTATTTGGGTTAAATTTTGATAAGGATTACCTAGTGATAAAATCAAGCGAATACTAGGGTACTTATTATGATAAACTGATTAGGTTTATTACAAATTTGTGGAAATCATAATATTATTGTTGTTGAATGTCTAACCGGAGACACTTGGAATTGCACGTATTTACTTTATATATTTTGCAATCAAACAAATACTATGGGAAATATAATGGGAAAAATGAAAATATTGTTATTATAATTAATATATTTTATACATATAATATTTATTAAATGGTAAATAAATTGAACGTCTTAAAAATCGATCAAATTTATTAATAATATAAACGCCGTTCACGTTCACGTTCTATTTGCAAAAACCGAGTGACGTTCACGTATCGTTCACTATATATGAACTACGTTCTTTCCAAACACTGACCATAACTATGGTTATACAATGATAGGTCTACAAGCTACAGCATAATTCAATATTTTTATCAACATTCAAATTGATAAAAATATAATTTTACCATGAAAACAACAATGACTGATTAATAAAAAAAAATATTTAATATTGCATACCATACGTCAAATATAAGTATACTTTAGAAACTTGTAACGTATGTATTGTACTAAGAATATGTAACGTAGAAAAAAAACACCATAATCACCCCCGCCCTTGTTACGCTACTGGTCGTATATAAATCGTGCATACATTCAACATTTGATATCAAACTATATTATCTATTACACCCATAAATTAATACTATACCGTACTTAATTTTTAAAAATATTTTACAATTTATATTTCTTTGAAAACTAAATATTTTATTATTTTTATACTTATTTTAAGTTTCACTTTACATGTCGGAAAGGATCTTGATACTCAAGTACTCTTCGGCAAGTTCTACAATTATAATGTGGATACTGACACCCTGCACGCAGTTACGCATATAAAAAGTATACTATAAAAAGTTCAAATAGTTCCGTGTCGTCAGTGGCGTCCGCAGGGGGCTGAAGCCCCCCCCCATTGCCATAGTATTATTACATTATCAAAAAATATTTATCAAGTTTTAACTGTCAACTATAGTAAGCAAGACT